CTCGTTCACTCATGTTTCAAGCGTCTCTTCCACTTGAGTTTTGGGGGGAGTGTGTCAAAACAGCAGTTTATTTAATTAATCGTACTCCCACGAAAATTCTTGGGGGTAAGTCTCCTCTTGAAATCCTTTCTTCCAAGCCTCAGGATCTCAGTCATCTTCGTGTCTTTGGGTGTCTCTGTTTTGTTCATCCTATTCCCAAACCCAAAAACAAATTTTTTCCAAGGAGTGTCAAATGTATGTTTGTTGGATACCCTTATGGTACCAAAGGCTGGCGAGTTTACAATCTCGAAACACACCAATTTTTCCACACGCGAGATCTTTCGTTTGATGAGTCCATTTTTCCTTTTGTTACCCCTACTCCATCAGCGACCTCAGAACCTATCCTCACACCGTCATCGGAGGATTTTCCCATTCCCGTACCCAACACCCCCATATCCCCATCCACATCTCAGTTACCGTCCCCATCCTCTTTACCTATTTCGACCGATTCTCCTGCTTCTTCTTCAGACGACGCCAACCCACGGTCATCCACGGTGGAGACCACTTCTCCACCGGCAGTAGTTCCTTCTCTTCCACCGCGTACGCGTCGTCGTCCAGATCATCTTAATGACTATGTTCTCAATTCCGCAAAGACCGTCTCTCCGATTCCAGTCTCCTCAGGTTCGTCACAATCGGGTACTCGGTTCCCTATTACTAACTTTGTTCGTTATAATAAGTTGCATGACAGGTACAAAGGTTTTCTTGGAGCAATTGATGCCACCTCGGTACCATGTAATTTTCGTGAGGCTATTCAGTTTGCTACGTGGCGCGAAGCTATGGCTGCTGAGTATCTAGCTTTGGAGCGTAACCACACTTGGGATATCGCTGATCTTCCTCCTAATCGTCGGGCCCTTGGTTGTCAATGGGTGTACAGGACTAAGTATCGCTCTGATGGTACTAAGGAACGTGATAAGGCTCGTCTTGTTGTTTTGGGTAACCATCAAGAGCCTGGGGTTGATTATACTGATACATTTGCTCCTGTTGCAAAGTTAGCCACTGTTTGTGTCTTGTTATCTGTTGCAGTTGCTCGGGGTTGGCAGGTTGATCAGTTGGATGTCAATAATGCTTTTTTGCATGGGGATTTACATGATGAGATCTATATGAAAATTCCTCCAGGTTATACCCAGTTATTTCCCGGGAAGGTTTGTCGTCTTCGTAAATCCTTATATGGGCTCTGTCAATCTCCTCGTAATTGGTTCACTAAACTCAGTATTGCTCTACGGCGTTATGGATTTCGACAAGCTCATGCAGATCATACACTCTTTGTTCTACGACGTGGCCCAGACATGTTGGTTGTCCTTGTTTATGTTGATGATATTCTTGTGGCCGGTAACAACAGTTCATTGTGTTCCTCTTTCAAGAAATATTTGGATGACTGTTTCCATCTTAAGGACCTTGGCCCCGTCTCTTATTTTTTGGGGATTGAGTGTGCTCGTTCTCGTGATGGTATGGTTCTTAATCAACGGAAGTATGCTCTTGACATCATTCACGAGGCTAATCTTGATGGTTGTAAGCTTGTTGATACTCCATTACCAGTCAATCATGCCTTGGCTCGTTCTAATAGTGCTGAGATTCGAGATCCCCTCAAGTACCGTCGACCTGATATTTGTTATNCTTCGTGTCCTACGGTATCTTAAGGGACATCCTGGTCAAGGTATTATTTTGCGTAGTGATAGTAATCTTGCTCTTACTGCTTTTTCTGATTCAGATTGGGCAAGCTGTCCGCTTACTCGACGCTCTGTCACTGGGTATTTTATTCTGTTGGGTGGGTCTCCAGTTTCATGGCGCACTAAAAAGCAAACTACCGTTTCCCGTTCTTCGGCAGAGGCTGAATATCGGGCCATGGCTAATGCTTGTACCGAGATAAGGTGGTTGCGTGGGCTCTTGGCTGCTTTGGATGTTCCTTGTGTGGCAACTCCTCGTTTATATTGTGATAATAAATCTGCTTTGTTTATTGCCGCCAATCCTGTCTTTCATGAGCGTTCGAAGCACATTGATATTGATTGTCATATTGTTCGGGAGTGCATCCAGCGAAATCATGTTGTCACAGCTTATGTTCCTACGCGTCTCCAAACTGCGGACATCTTCACTAAAGCGTTGTCTGGTCCTCTATTTCACTGTTTATTGTCCAAGTTGGGCATTTTCGATATTCATGCTCCAACTTGAGGGGGAGTGTTAGGACATGTATTTTATGTATAATAGCAACATTCATTGCATTGAGCTACTTAGGTTGGACTCTTCGTTTGTATCATCGATGTATATTTATATCGTTTTTGTATCAATGGAACAGGCCATTCAACGTCCTATAGTTTCTACAAAATTAATCATCCACATTTTTTTGCAGTAAGTCTTTGATTAGTAAGTTTATCTTTAGTAATTTGCCAAATAAGAAAAATACCCAAATTTATTGGGACTACCCAAAAAAGCTTTGGACTAATAGTTATAAACTAATACGGAGTATTAAAAATTTGGAAGAGTAATGAAAGTTATACCCCACACACAAAAAAAAATTATCAATACATGTTAAAAAATATTTAGAAAATAATGGCAAATTAAATAAAATGTAAAGAGAACTTAGTTAATAATTTAAAAATAAAAATATTATTTTAATAGATGTGACTCTTTAACATCTAAAATCTAATACTTCCTTCGTCCCTAAATCATTTACTCTTTACGCAAAAATGAAGTAAAACCTTAAGTTTTTTCAATTCATTTTATTTTAAAATTTGTATATAAATAAAACTTACATATTTAAAAGTACATCAAAATTTGTACGGTGACAAGAATATTTTATTTCATCAAATAAACAAAACTTTTTGTGATTTTTGGATAGTAAAATATGTAAATCATTTATTCAATGAATCTGGTAGGAAAAGAAATAAAAGGTTTGGGGGAGGGAGTATTTATTTAAAAAAAATTAATTATCATTGTGACTCTTAGCTTCAAGATCTAAACAACAAAAAACAGAATGTATAAAAAAGATATCCTTGTAGATCTTTCGCTCACCTCTGGTGATCTGAATAAGGAATGGTGCGGAGAAGAGAAATCTCTTGGCGTCTCTTCTCTCTTTTTTCTTTTGCCTTCTCCTTTTTATCCATATTCTTGTTTGCTGTGTTGTGTTTTATGTTGATGAAAGGCTTCTGTTTTGTGTTAATTTACCCAAATTATTTCTTCTTCCTGATAGTATTTCGCTGTAGGTTTTGATAGAAAGAAAAAGGAGAGATGATGAAACATAAAATGAGTTTTTTCTTGCGACATTATTGGTCCAAAGTAACGCACGACTCTCTACCATTGTTTTTTTTAATGAACAACTACCCGGTTGCTAATTCTGAATATCATGATCTCCGAGATACAATTTTGATTATTACCGATTAAAATCATGTTAGGGGTAGCCAATGAGTTAATTCTAAAATTTATACTAAAGTTATACACTAACATCTTGATAGTATATTCACACCAAGACAATTAAGTGTAATAAAAAAATTGCACTAGCTTTTTATACCTGTGTAAATCATCACACATTCACAAAATTAAGTTATATACTCCCTCCGTCCCAAAAAGTCTGACACCTTTTGAAAAAAACTGTGTCCCGTAAGGTCCATTACATTTCTATTAAAAACCACTTTTACCCCTTACTTTTTCATACCCTACCTATCACATCATACCTTTTTCCTAATAATCTACCCATCACATCCTACTTTTACCCATCACATCAAGGGTATTTTTGGAAAGTCAACACCAAAATATCCCTCCCTTAATTTTCCAAAAAGTCAATATGTACCAATCTTTTTGGGACGGAGGGAGTACATGTGATGTACAATTTGATAAGGTTAAACTCCATTATTGGTCCTTCAACTTTGGGTTGTGCACGATTGGTTCCAGGAATGACAATGGATCGGGTTCGGATCGAATAATACTATACCCGAACCTAACCCGTCTTTTAAAACTGAAATCTGAACCCGACCCGGAACCCGACTTTTTCTGCCAAAAACCTGACCCGGCCCAAATCCAACATTTCAACTCGAAACCCGAGCCCGACCCGAATCGAACCTGAGTTTTAACCAATAATCAATTCGACGTACCCCAATAATTTTAAATAGATTAAATCTAATTTTTCCGTGTCTCTTTTTTTGTGTCTCATTTTTTTATTAAGGAATTATAAAAATGATTATAAAAGGTATACTTGATATAGTAGCACTTTGTCAAGAGATTATACGAAGTGCTCATTCTATCCATAGATATGCTTTTATGTTATAACACATTCGGGTTTGAGTCTGGTCGGGTGCGGGTTCGGTTCGGTTCGGGTAATGTTATAAATCCACACCTGACCCGACCTGATGTCGGGTTCGGGTAAAACATTTTGGGTTAGGTTCGGATCATTTTATTCTCGGTTCGGGTTTGGATATTTTAATGGTCGGTCGGGTCGGTTAAGCTCGAGTTCGGGTTGAATTGTCATCCCTAATTAGTTCTTCAACTTTCAAAAGTCTATAAATAGTCCTTTAACTGTATGAGTAATGCACGATTGGTCCTTCAAGTTTTAAAAGTCCATAAATGGTCCTTCAAGTACAAGTCAATGCTCCAGAAGAGGTCATTTTGGCGATAAATGTTACAAGCTAAATGGAGTACTAGCTCCATATAATACAAGGTAGTCGTACCTAGTGGAATTTACTCATATTATATGGAACTTGTATTCCATTGAGCTTTAGTGTCTACTGTTAAAAGGACCTCATCTTGAGGGCTTACGTGTACTTGAAGGACTACTTATAAACTTTTGAAACTTGAAAGACCAATCGTGCACAATTCATAAAGTTGAAGGACTATTCATGAACTTTTGAAACATGAAAGACCAATCGTGCACAACTCATAAAGTTGAAGGACAAATGATGATATTTAGCCATTTGATAAACGACTCTTGGTGTATAAATGCCTTATTTTTATTTATAATTTTAGAAATCACCCTAAATCAAAGTAAAACATAGAAAAAAAATAAAAAAAAGAGCTCCATATTTTTATCTCAAAATAGCAATTCACATTGTGGTAATGTGTCACTGTATATGGACATTTCACAATACTTTTTGTTAGTGTATATGGTCATGATTGACACTGTAAATTCATTTTAACTTATTTATTCTAGAATAAAACATAATACTTCTATTTTGGTATATTTTTAATGTTTCACTTCTAATTTAATTCGTAAGAAATGACTCTTAATAGGAGTAAAACATAGAGAAAGTACTAAAATGAGAGTCTCATCTTTTTATTCTCTAAACAAGAGTTCGTACTGTGGTAATGTGGCACTGTACATTGCAGTTTACTATATTTTTTTATAATGTACATGATCATTATTGGTAATGAAAATGCATTTCAACTCCTAATTCTGGAATAAAGACATGGAACTCCTATTTTCGTTTATTTTCAATATCTTACTCCTACTTTAATCTTTTTCCCAGAGTTTTTTCCCTTCCTCCGAATTGAATAAAATATTTCTATTTCTCTTATTTGGGTCTGTAATTAATTTTCTCATTTCAATTTTTAACACACAAACTTCTTTAAATACCCCTCACACATCCAACATTCTTAATTTATTTCCATTTCTCTCCCCCATTCTTCTTTTCCGCCCGCTAGGAATGAGATTTGATTTCTTTCCTAAACATAAAAAAGAACTTTCCAATTAAGAAAAGGAATGAGGATTATGTTCCTTATAAATAGGAGATCATCCCACCCTTTTTTTGGCTACTAGAACTTCGGCCCTCTCTCCAATTTAAGAGACAAAATGTTGTTTTGCTCTCTTAAAACTTTACACTAAATACTTTATATTTAGAAATATTCTAGGGAAAAATTACTAGCATAGTTTTTCTCTAGTATGCTCTTCGTTGTTCGTGTGTCTCAACTCGAGGTTATATACTTTTGTGGCTAGCTCTTGGACCAATCCCTTCAACCATACATATTGTTGCTTGATCGCCAAGAAAGGTACAATTTTCTTACAATTATAATCTTCATAATAGATCTTGGATGGAAACAACATTTGGACATTAAGTTTTTGTTTTCCGCTGCCCTATCCAAGCGTGGTTTCCTTACATTTTCTTGAGGGAGAGGGAATAAATAATTCATCAATTGAAAAGGTTTAAGTTTTATTATAGTCATTGCATTTTGTTTAATCAAGTTGTCAAATAAAATGAGACAATCATTAAATCTTTAATTTCATACTCTTTAGGTTACAGCACTGCCAAATAATCTCAAAATTGCTCGGAAAATCAACCAAGAAAATAAGTATCCACCTCACACTATTTTGGATTCGTTTTTGGATTTTGAAGACCAAATGGTGAGTAAGAAAGTCTCAATGTGAAGTTTTATTGAGAGTGTGTTTTTATCATTTCCTTTGGACTCCAGTTAAGTAAACTAGTTTTGAACTTGTGTGCAGGTTGATTCTCCCCAAAAGATCATGGGCAACGGTGTTGGTTTTGCTATAATGAATCCTGTTGAAATCGTATTGCCGAGAAAGATTCAAATTTAGTCGAATTAATTAATTTCTTTTCTTTTAGGGACGAAGATTAAGAAAAAAGTCAGCCCATGTTAGAATGCAATTTACTGAAGATGGGAGAAAAAAAATCAAAGGATCTTCTAAGTAAGAACCAGATCTTTTGGAATTTAAGAGCTTCATTAATGAAGCTATTAAAACTTACCGGTATGTAGAATGCTACCTCGATCGGCATAAGGAAGACAACGAGTTTGTCGATCGATGGTGGAGTGATCTGCTCACTCCCTGTTTTTGAATAGAGGATATTTTAAGTTACATTTACCTTCCTTACATAAGTATAAAACGAATACTTAACTATTTACATTTCTAATAACATAATATTGTTTGTTTACTAGCATGTGGAAGAGTATGTTTACATCTTGAGAAGGCGCATGTAAATTGACGATGGTGACCCCGTCATTGCACCTTATGAATTCGCATCCTTCTTGGGTTCTTATGTGGATGACAAACACAAGTATCCCACCATTTTTGAAAAACTTGAACATGTAATTGAAGAATCATATAGCGAGGGGCTGGAAGCGCTTTCAACCAAAACTTGGGATCAGAACATTAAGTTTGTATATTACTTAAGACCCACGATTAATCATTGGGTTTGTGTTAAGGATGATTTGGAAAGCGGTTGCCACGTCATGGTTGACTCACTTAGCCGGTTAGTGAGCAATGAAGAAATATTTAACATTCTGGAGGAAGATTTTATGGAATTTAAAGGCATCGCATCCATGAGAGGGTTAAGAAAGCACAACATTAAAAATAAGTTCATGTGGGATTTGGAATGACCCCTAGTACCCCAACAGAAAAATAGTGACGACAGCATCTTCACACTAAAAGTGTTAGTGTTTGTAGTGCAAATGGGTGATTTCAAATCTTAAGAGAATATGACAAATTAAAAGATGGAGGCCATTTGTTTAGAAACTTCATACGACATAAGCAAAGATGAGTACCATTGTAGAGACAAAAAATAACCAAAGTCGATACATATATTAATATTTATATTTTGGATTCTAACCTAATATTAAAGGGAATTTCATGTAAGTATTAAAAGTGCAAGGAATTGCATTTTAAAAGTATTCATATAATTAAGTTAAAGTAACACTACACAAAATCACTTCCAGGAACATTTTTAACATTCAACATCAATATGTAAACCCCAACAATATTAGCATTTGATGTACATGCAACTCGTGAGATGTTTTTTGCATTTTCTACTAAGGTAAATGAAACTCGATAGATGCATTTAGCAGCACGGTAGATTGTTTAAATGGAACTCCTAAGATGTGATTGGCATTTTCATGTGGCATTCTCATGCACCAAGTCTCTTCATCCACCCCATTAACTACATACCATTTCTCATTGAGTATTGGGTTAAGTGTGGATTGCATGGGATGGGAGATCCGAGAACATTCCATCAGGTGGTGGTGGTAGGATACCCAATGGGGTATACTTTCATTGACTGGAAAAAGGGGAATAATGGATCTTGAGAAATCTATTATGAGCCTTTTACCTAATCGAGAAACTCATTATAAGGGTTACAAAGGAACTACATAAATGAAAGATTTGTTCCTATCAAGGAAAAATTTGAGACTTGTGAAAAGTGGTGAATGAATTTGCTTCTGAATTTGTAAAAGGAGGGTGCAATATGATGAATTTGAATATGAATTTGTAAAAGTAGGGTGCATTGAGTTTGAATTTATAAGGCGATAATGATGATGCTCAATGAATAAGGAGGCATTGAAGCATACATACACGTGTGGGTTACTATTTTTTTAAGACTACTTATAAGACCCCAACCCGCATAACCCGAATACATGAATCAGCAAACCGAGTTGCTACTAAATTGATATCCAAACCCAACTCATTTTTAAAACAATTCAAAATAAATACTTCAAAATATAATTTCAAACATTTATCGGAGTAATTAAAAATAGTGCAGAAGCTTAAGTCATTATTCAAAGAGAACTTGGGATTAGAGCCCGTAAAAGTATTGAGTATTTAAATAGTAAATACCAGTTCAATTAGTCAATCCCATCCACACACATCTCCTTTTCCTCATTGCAGTGCGGAATTGGTTCAAGGTTCATCCTGATTTTGGTTACATACTTGGCTCATAACCTATCCTAGGTTTAAGCTTATTTTAATTCCTACTTTCTTATTAGAGTGATGACCTTCCCTTTCAGAACGAATATCAAGCTCAACCAACTCAAGAGTTCCTTGTTGGGTGGGTGAGATCCCTATCCCTTTCGAGACGACAGTTCATAGATCCCTATGTGCACGTTCGTATCTGAATAGCTATTGGACCCAGCAGGTACCACATGGATCTAGCCTTTCTATACTTATGGCATAACTTGCCTACATTCCATTCAGGGCAAATCCTAGAGTTCCTCTAGAGAAATATATTACTTTAACCTTTACATTAAATTAACAATTTCACAACATTCATAATAGGCTTATATCATATCCAACATAGCCAAACATGATCAAAAATCGGCCAAGTGCTCGGTGGGAAGACCCATGCTTACCATCATGCAACATACAAAGTCTCAAAATAAATACTCGACACGAAGACAGGTTCAGGAACTACATAGTGGTACCACATGGTACCTAGTCCGGTATCTGGGTACCAGTACGGCACTTGGGTATTGTCCGGGCGGTACCTGGGACCGGCTGGGATAGAGTCCGTCAGCACCAGATGGCATGTGGTGTAAGCCATCTATCGTCTCGGCGGTAGGGTCTACCCTCTATCCGTTACCTAGGTACCAAGCGGTCGTAGGTTCTGACAGTGCGGAATGGCCTGTGGTAGTATCACGGTACCAGCCTGCACTACAAGAAAATTAGTTTTTAGCCGCATATAATTTGCCGCACTTGATCAAGTGTGGTAAAAATTTTTAACTCTTTATGATTTTGCCACACTTATAAGTGAGGTTATTAGTAATTTCATGTACCAACATAACTTAAGTGTTCCAAATCAAATAATTTTATATTATAATCAAATAATTTAAATTTAGCAAATTAATAAAAATACCACCTAATGTAAATAAAAATGTAACGTAAATAAAAAATCTACGAAGTACATCACAGCGAAACTAATTTATTTAGGTCAGGGCCTGGTATTTCATTTTACGCACCTAAGCAAAAAAACCTCTTACGGATCAAACTATTATACGATATGATTATTGATGAGATTATCCCAAAACCTCATACGGAGTACACTATTGCAATCCGTATAAGAGCTCTACCCAACACTGTAATTCAATTCGATCGGTGTGAGCAGTGCTATCCTCAATCGATTCAACCTGTAAATAATCAATACACTCGTTTGGATCGATTCATCTTCAATCCCTCAGTCATTCATCCCATCCTTCGGCCATTGATTGATCCATTCATTAAGGTGTTTATTTTCCTTTTATCTCTTAAAATTAGATTGATGTTTTTTTGGTAATTACTTTTATCAAATGGTATAATTGAATTCTATCTTGTGTAATTATATATCTTGGTCATTTATCCCCTGAAATTTGTGCATGGTAGTGTCGTATTTTTGTGAGTGTGTAAATCTATGTCCATATATATCCTTCTATATCCAAAGTGAAAATCAGCTTGAACAGTGGAATTGTTTCTTGTTCAATCAGTGTTTGTCCAAACTAACACTACCTTGAATTTCAATTTCTGAACTTGTCATTAAAAAGTAATGTGTGAAATTGGTTGAATGGGGTGTCTTTGAATTCTGCTTATTAAACAAACATTGAAGAACTCTACCAATGTCTGAATATTTTAAATCTTTGCTCGTATTTTTACTTGTTCAATACCATAGGTTTTATTCGTTCCATACCATCAAGTGGAGAATCAAAGGTTTTACTTGTTCTTCCTTTCCCACTTCAAAAAATCTTCATTTTTTGCTTGATGATTAATGCTATGTATATATTCCTCTTTTCTGTTGCCTAGTATCATTCAAGAACTACCTTTATAATTTCAACCCACATTTTCTATTCCCAGCTTTGCATAATAGAGTTCTTGTTGCACTCCTTATTTTCAGATAAAGTTGGCATTTATTGTTTTTAGTTGCAGCATTTTTTAAAAGCATTCTTTCAATGTCTTTTTACAATTGTACTAATCTTACCTTTTAAGGTTGATGCATAAATCTCATTGTTTCAGATTATTCCAATTAAGAGCCAGATACTATGTTACCCTTAGCCTTCAAGCCAGCATTCTCTGATGATGTTGATGTCTCTAAGATTAAAGAGTGTTTCATTTCAGCATTTGATGCCATTTTCTGGCAGAAATCAAGTGGAGTATTTGTACAATCTTTGTTTAGAGAATCCGTGTTTACAAAATTCTTGGGTTCAAATAAAGTGTTGTTAGAATAAGTGCCCTTCACTAGAGGGGGGTGAATAGTGAGGCACGAGAATGTTTATAAATTTTTGCGGAATAAAAATTGCAGGGATAAAGTAAAGAGCTGAATAAAAAGCGTAAGGAGAGAACACACCGATTTTACCCTGGTTCACCACAACGTGTGGCTAGTCCAGCCTCCCGAGAGACTCTCTCGAGCTACACTATCAACGTTAAGCTTACGGGTGCTTAACAAACCGTTACAACCTGAGAACTCGAGTCCCACGAGTCTCAATACACTTGCTCGGAGATACCGCACTCCAAGACTTGAACCCGAAGGAATATGCCCTTCCTTCGTACAACCAAGGGAATAAACCTCCCTTAAAGTGTTCACAACACTTAACCACTCAAGAACAAAAAACTCTCTTAAAGAGTAGAATATGAGCAAACTAATTTAGATCAAGAACACACTCAATTCCTCAAGAAATGGCTCTAAAAAGCTATGTAAAAAGTTTATGGAATGATGCAATGTAAAGCTATGAAATGTGTGAGGAATGGTTATGAAAAGCAGACCCAAAAGACCCCTTTTTATACCCAAAAACAAGGTGCAACGGTTGGGAGAAGATTGGGGTTGATTGGCTTGATTTGTGGAAATCAAATAAAAGTGGATCTGCTGAAATCTAGCCCGACAGCGTTGTTCATATAGGAACATCGCTGTTTTGGCTTTGACTTTCCTTTAAAAATGGCTAACGGTCATCAAAACATCGATGTCTAGAAGTCTACATCGATGTTGGGTGTTTGACTTTCAAAAATGGAAAGATTTTGTCTTAAATAGCCCAACGGTCATTTGAAAACAGCGTTGTTCAACCATGAACATCGATGTTCAAAAACTTACTGCCCAGGGCTTCTGAAGGCCAACATCGCTGTTGGGATTTCCGACATGCATGTTGGGATGGTTTGCCAGAACCATGGTTTGGCATCCAACGCCGAAAACCGATGTCAAAAACCAAAGTTCTCCAAAATGAAAACCAAGTGTTGGAAACTCTTATATAATGTATTTAATGTAGAAACCAAGTATAAAAACTTAAAAACCACTTCATTAAGGTAAAAATCACGGCTAGCCAAGTTTATGCCGTTTCACATGGTTTTCACCAAAAGACCAAAAACGAAAGGTGGTTTTTAACATGTTTTTGTTGGAAAACCATTTTGATATGTCCAGAAGTAAAAACCAATCATAAAATATTAAAAACCACTTGATTGATTTGGGCGTCAAAAACCAACACCTATAACCGGCGCCGAAAGCCGATAACCAATGCCAAAAAACAAAGGTTATGGTTTTTGAAAACTAATCATTTGGAAAACCTTTAAATGTGTCCAGAAGTAAAAACCAATCATAAAATATTAAAAACCACTTGATTGATTTGGGCGCCAAAAACCAACACCGATAACCGGCGCCGAAAGCCGATAACCAATGCCGAAAAACAAAGGTTATGGTTTTTGAAAACTAATCATTTGGAAAACCTTTAAATGTGTCCAGAAGCATAAACCAAAGATAAAAACCCAAAAACCATTTGGTTTAAATCAATGCCAAAAACCGAACGCCATAGCCGAACGCCGATAACCGATGGTTATGGTTTTGGTTAAGCAAGAACCATGGGTTTTAGAAACTTAAAAACCATTTATGAAAACACTCATTTGATGCATGAAAAACATATTTTGTTTTGAGCCATGACGTAGAGAAATTGAATGAGCTTGTTACAATAAAACCTAAGTCTTTAGAATACGTCTTCAAAACGCCAATGTCGCCATCTTTAGCAGCGTCAATGCCTTTCTTGTGCTTTTTGTTTCTTCAAAGAACTTTTTCTATCTCTTTGAATCTTTTCATTTTGTTCCATGTTCCCGACGGTTGTCAATATCAAAACCTAAATGGAAACAAACATTGTCATTAGCAAAATGTCAAAGTGAAAATGTTTTCCAACAAGTGTCTGCTGCCTTCATGTTTGCAGTAGGGGCAATTTCAGTAGGTGAAGTTTCTTTAATTTTGAGCTAGGCTTTAATGCATTTTCAGTCTCAATAGCTAAAATAGCTTTTGACTAAGATTCCACAGTTTCTTGTGGCTGAGAGGGTGTGAGACCAATAATTCCCATATTCTCTTCATCAAAAAAGGGTACCAATTGTTAAGACATCTTTAGTGACCCAAGTAAGATGAAAATATTCAGTTTTAGTAGGATTAGGGATCAGTTCTTTACCTAGTTTAGCCTCATTACAAATCAATGGCCTTGTAGGTTTAGGGGCATCTCTTTTAATCCATCTAGAAGTTGTGGGGGTTTTCTTGTAGGTTTTGTGCCCGCATCTTTTACAGGATGAGCAAGGTTGAGGGACATCCTCATAATGAATGGGTTGAAGGAAAGATAGGTGGCCCACATGTAACCAAACAGAGTGTGGGAGTTCCTTTGAAAGGTCTAGTTCCACACACACCATAGCCACAGAAGGTCAGCTAAGCTGGGCAGCCGCAGAGTCTATTTTCAGGGAATTTCCAACAAAGTTTGCAATGGAAAATAAAGAGGTAGTATCAAACAAGTGGATGGGAATGCCTTCCAGCGCAATCCAAACCAGAATTAGGGGGGATTCTATAGTCGGATCAAAATCAAAGGTCTAATGCAATACGTCAACATTATAACCATCAATTTTCCAGCACTTTCTAAGAAAACAATGCAAGAAATCCTCATTCAAAGTAAAGTGAATCACAATATGTTTTTCATCCAGTAAAGGGATTTAAAATTCAGTAGAGCCCAATCCTATATAATATATGGACCTTGTTTAAGCCTGTTGATTTCACGGGAATCCATTCTATTCTACATTCATGCCATGCTCATTAAGATATGTAACCATTTTAATGTCCTCATTTTGTTTGTTTGTATGGGAAACTATCTAGTGCTCAAATTGAGTTATTGGTAGATATAGTGTTGAAACTTAACCCTTGAGAAGTTCAAATTTAGTTCAGCTTTTGGCTATTGGAAGATCATCGATCAAATGGCTTCCCATTTTTGATATTGTGATTGATTTGCTAATTAAAGGTATGCTAATTGTTGTTGGCTTCTTTCAGGGACTGGTACACATTAAATTTAAACTTACAGCCTTCATACTGTATAGCCTTCTGATTAATTGATAATAAAATAAATTTAAATAGTTCATTTTAAATTTGTAGATGTCAAGCAAAGATACTTGCACACAAAAACAGAGTCAAGGTGGTTCTTTCTAGAAGATAACAACTCAAAAGACAAGGAATTTTAAGTTGTGAGGAGTTGCTGACTTTGTTGTTATTATAAATTCTCTATTCCTTAATGATGACAGAAGTTGAGAACATATTTGTTTATTTTGGTTGGTTTTTATTTGTGTTAGATATGTGTTGAAACAAAGTGTGAGAATAGAGTGATTTCTGCATTCCATCTATACATATATATGGTTGATATGGAGATTGTTATAGACTGCTGCAGACCTGGATTCTAGAACTACATGACCTGCAGTTCTCTATTGATGGATTTGGAAGAACAATTGCTTTTTAGAAATTGGCTACATTCTGTTTTTTAGAAGCTTTCTTTTTGGTTTTTCTCAGAATTCCATTAACTCTATTGGAGACCGTTGATTTTGCAGTCCTTACTTAACTTTTGATTGGTTCTTTTCATCAGTTTTGCTTATTAGCCTTTATTTGTAACATTACGTTGGTGGATTGACTTATTTGTACTTTTTTTCAAGGGTGTAAAATATACTTTAAATTTCTTATTGTGATTGTTTATTGTGATATAGTGCATGTTTATATTAATTAATTAGAATCGTTATAAGATATATATATATATATATATATATATATATATATATATATATATATATATATATATATATGGGCCGGTTCTCGTGAGAATGCACCTTGTGGAGAGAAATGAGAATAAAATCTAGTCGTCGGATCTGATGCATCGTGTGGCTCAGATTGCATCCTGCGCTCAGATTTTGAGATAGTGCATTTTCGAAGGTTTATGGTGCATTTTGACGTGATGCATTTTCGCAGCGTTTTGGTGCATCTAATTTTGATGAAATCTTGACCCTTAGATCTCACAATCTAAAGCATCAGATTCATTCTCATTTCTCTCCTAAGATTGCATTCTCACCAGAACCTATATATATATATATATATATATATATATATATATATATATATATATATATATATATATATATATATATATATATATAAGTTAGTTGCTTGGTTTTAGTTTGCCGCACTTATAAGTGTATTTGGCGTACTCCACGGGATGCCTCACCCTAAGGTGTTTTTCCAGACCACCATAACCGCCGGAAATTCCCATTTGTATTACGGTGCCACAATATTTACAACTTCTAAAAACTTTGCCATTTTTTGTTTCTTTTGAAAAATGATAAATAAATAAATCAGATGTTAATTTGTTTTATCTTTCCCCGAACCTTCAGAGGTCCCGGGCTCACCTGCCTCCTCGTCGGCATTGGTAGGATTGTTGCTCTCCGGTGTAGGCTCCACGTGCATTTCTGCTTCATCAATGTCCTCGAATATATCTTCAAGAGTTTGAAGAGTGGCGTCCGTCCTACCTCCCAAATACTATTCAAATTCTTGATCCGTCATAGCGTCAACCACGAATTGATCAGGGATAGTAGGGAAGGAAGAGACGGAGTGTCTTCCTTGAGAATCCCATGAGCTCGAACCGTCAGAGGTAACTTTAGCTTTGCCTTTCCTGGAACTTCAGTTCACCACGTCCATATCCACGGACCATCTACCGGACTCTTTCGATATTTTAATATATTTTTATTTTGATAAAAAAGGACTATATTAAATATTTAAAATATTAATTATATATTGAATTTCGAAATTATAATATTAATTTATAACAATATAATATATTAGTAATATATGAATGTATGACTAAAAATTTATTATTATATGAGTATATATTTATATATTATATAATATACTAATATATATTTTTAATTTTATATTACTATATGAATATAAAATGTATAACGACTGAAGAGAGATAATAGAAATTAATAGAGAAGAAGGGATTGAGATTTGAGAAATGAGAATTGAGTATTTGAGAATTGAGATTGAGTGTGGTATTTTTTTTAAAAAAAATGGGAGGGTTATTTATATAGATAAACCCCCCAACCCCCCAAACCGCCACCCCCTTCCCCTTCCCCTCTTCAAACGGCTATAAAGTCGTTGAGGAGCCCCCCCTACAATTGGCTGCAAAAGTCTGACAAAGAAAGCAAAAGAAAAAGAAAAAAATCAAACGGCGGTGGGACGATTTTGGTACTGGTTCCCAGAACCGGCTCAGCATGTCCGTCTCCGGTGACAGTGGCGGTACTGGCGCCGGTAACGATACCGTACTGGTACCGTGTCTACCCCTAATCACAAGGCTAGCTATTCGGGTTTAGTAAAACACAAACTAATGAGATGATCTTTATTTTTTTCGTGTGGTGAACTACATTGTGTCAGGATGAACGTTTTGTTGTTGCGTATCTACTGCTTGCCATGTATGTCACATGCCCAAATGCTAGCGTCAGAGTTGATTGTACTATAATCTCTCCGTTCCTTGATACCTTTCTCCTTTTGACTTTTAATGCATTTAAGGAAAATATATTTTTATATTGACTTTTCAAAAATATCTTTGATGTAATAGATGAAAATAAGATGTGATGGGAAAATTATTATTGGATAAATATGATGTAATGGATTGGGTAAGAATTAGTATGAAAAAAAGTGGTTTGTTTAGTAGAAAGTGGAGAACTCTTTAAAGATGGATAAGAAGATAAAGAGAAAATTTTAAGGCACTCACGCATTGAGTACAATGCAACACTTGTTGCATTGTCTGTCATGGTGTACGTAATTTTATAAAATGGACTTTGAACCATGATAGCAGGCCAAGTCTGGCGAATCTTGTAGCTATGATATTAGATGAATTTAAAACTCTTGTGAAGTACTAAAACAATATAGTATGACCATGGTGATTGAAAATATAATTTCTCCATCCGTAAATGATTAAGGGCCTGATGTTTGCTTTTATTTGAAATAAATGATAAAAGTTAGAGATAAATTTGTCAATATGAACCAGGAGAATACTTGCACAGTGATTGATCGATGGCTATAGCTGGCTTATTGGGGATCATGGCAAAGTGAATTGGAAGGATCTGGTTTGGAATGATCTCACTGTTCCTAAACACAGATTCATCATATAGTTGATTATGGGAAACATGATTCAAACGGAAAAGAGACTTAATAATTCATGGTTATAAATTAGGAGTGTATGCTTTGTAACAAAGGAGAAGAGGATATAAACCCGTTTTTTTGGAATTGTTCATCTTTCAACAGCAACCGTGTGGCTCAACACATCATCTTTCCTCAGCAACCGGGTGGCTCAATTATACTTTGCAGTAAAATTACCAGAATGAATTATTACTTGCGCGTTCCAACAAATCTTACAGGGTTTAAGGTCTCCCAGTGGACCGCGAAGATGCAATAGTGTACACAAAAATTGATTCATTCTCGGACGGACGTCTACCAAGGTTTAAGGTCTCCCAGTGGACCAGCAGTCCAGTTCAAGACCTTTTCACCAGGTTTCAAGTAAACACTCGTTGTGTCATGAGGCAACTTGCGAGCAAGTCCATTCAAAATCTGATGGAACGCATCCCCATGCTGAGCAGGTTGTGGGAACAACATTGCCTGTTTCATTGAAGGGTTTGCAAGCAATCTCTGCTTCCTCAAGATTTCCTCCGGTCGGATAGAAGTGAGGATCGTGTCCAGCATTGCCACATCTTTCTCTGCTACAAACACCCCGATATCTTCCCATGGGATGGCATCAGCAAAAGGCAAGACGATGTCGTCTGCTATAATCACAGGGATGCAACCAAATATCACTGCTTCAACCAGTCTTGGACTCCACGGCGCCCACCCAAGAGGACACAGACAGAAGATACCTCTCTGCATGTCTTCATAGTAGGTGGTTGGATGCTCTGTTGAGATGTCAAACAGAGGATTGTCCTTGAAGTTCTCCCACACCGCAGCTCGGGCACCTCTGGATACCAAAAGATGCAGAATGAGTAATAGATAATATTGAAGCAAGGAATTAGAAATATATGGGTGTATACATACTCCCTCCATCCCAATGTTACGACTCTAGTTTGACTTTTGGGGTTACTTTGACCACAAATTGTGTAACAATTATATTTAGTTATAATGTAAATTTAATATAACTTGGTTCATTTTAAGATGTAGTTTTGATCTATCAAATTTTTATATCATTTATTTATTTATAACTATATTCAGTTTATAGTCAAAGTAACCACAAAAGTCAAACTAAGATGGTAATTCTGGGACGGAAGAAGTATACACACACACACACACACACACACACACACACCTTGCATAGTAACCACCCTCAGGGTCATTGCCAACATCGTAAAACAAACCACGGAAGTAAACAAAGATGGACCGTGGAGTCTCTGGAGGAATCAAATGGGATTGCATTTTCTGTGGAGGAGCATATGGAGGAATGGTGATGGAACCATCCTTCAAGCAAACATGATTTCGTTGACCAAAAGTTTGAACCAAGGTTGCTCGCTGGAGTAATGGAAGAACCCCCCTTTCAATGGCTCTTTCCTCCTGAAATAAAACAAGGCAACAATAAATAGTCAAGACTCTACAGGCCTTTAGGGAGCGGAGAGGGATGGACGAGGAGATTTCTCATCTTATCTTACTTGATAATGAAAACAAGCCCCAAAATCATGTGGGACGATAAAGAAGTGGTCAGCCCCTTCTGTCCTATTCCAGTAGGGCCAGTTTGAAGCAATAAGTTGTATTGCACTCCTCATCATACGGGGGGACTTAAAGGGAAGAGGAAGGCCATTTGCTGTCAGGTCGCAAGTGGTGTACACTGGTGTGTAAAACCAATCGGCTTCCTCGGGGTTAAGAGTGCGCACAGGGCTGGATAAAAGGAAACGATGCATATATATTTCCGCAGCAAACATGTGGTTTAGACACCGTTGATCCTTCTGGAGGATTTTCTTGTTATATTTGCTTGGAAGCTCGTATACAAAAACTTTTAGCCTCCCGGTAGGATCATCTTCCAGCACATCACCAGCACTGCCTAAATTTTCAGTGAGACGAAAACTTACAAGATATTTTTTCCAGATTAGAAATGAATCAAATTGAAAATGGAATTGGATCTCCTCTCTAGTGTTTGGTTTTCTCATATCATGATTCCTTGTAAGAAATCATTCCATTCCGATAAAGAAAAGAGATTTATAACTTCAATTAACTACCCAAAAGCTCATTCCATGCACACATCCATGATTTCATCCAACTAAATTTTGTTGAAAGAAATTTGATGAAAACAAGCAGAACGCATTTCCAAAATCAGTAAACCACTCCACATAGTTGGATATTGCAGTGCTTCTTTGTATATCTTCTGTTTCTTCTCAGGTTATAACATTTATTGCTATTTCCTACTTACTATGAAAAAATTTGCCGAGTAAAATATACCCTGAATACATAGCTTTTGTGTGCCACACGTCCACACAAACACAAACTGGCAAAAGCTTGTTAAACACAAGATCCTAGCTAGGATCGGGAAGGCGGAAGATTGTAAATTGGGGAGCATTACACAGGTTTTAAGGTCATAGAGTGATAGCTAATATGTAAAAATATTAAACTATACCTGCATATAACAAATTAAATTTTAAATGCATAGCTAATTAGTAAACATCCAAATAAATAGTAATAATCATAACATCCAAATAAAAACAATTTCATTATACAATTGCAAAACATTTATCATAGCAATAAGTCCTCAACAAACATAATCATCCATTCCAAATCAATTACCCATAATTTCAATTTTATAAACAACTGAAGTGAAGGAGCTATATTTTTGGGGGGAGGTGCTATATCCTAAAGACTCTTCAAACTCACCTTATCTCATTCCTAAATTGGGATCTACAATAACAATAGCAACATTACCGCAGTGCCACAAAGGCTCCCGCCATTGCGGGGTAAGGGGGGCGGATGCAAGGAGTCTGACCCCTATGTTTAAAACATAGAGCGGCTGTTTCCAGATACCCATGACGAGCGTCGAAAGTTGCATTGACAAACGGCTTCTTCACTAGTAAAAGAAGCGCAGACAGTTTTTAGAATCATTTTGCTTTATTCCACCATACCCCAAAGCCAAAATAGTGAATCTTTGGCTTCATCGAAGATGATGGAAACAAATTGGGATACTGCCATAGTTTGTAAGGCGGAAAGGCGAGGCTAGGCGCCAATGTACCTTCAATAAGAGTATCCCACATCGGAAAAGTGTGAGGAAAATAATCGGTATATAAACTCTTGAGTTAAACTAACTAATCGATTGGATTCAATCTTTTAATGTGGTTCGACCCAAGTGTCTTATTGCCCAATCCAGTTAGTTGTTCATACCCAATCCTAAATTCTATCAGTTATCATACAATGACTTTCTGCGGTGTCTTCTACGAAAGAATTGGAAGATCAATGGTTATTCCTTAAATGTGTTTAGATGGACTCCTGAATTTGATCCCACTGTTGAATCCCCATTGCTACCTGTCTGGATAGGAATGGAAGGTCTACCAATTCACATATTTGATTCTTCTACTCTTTACTCCATTGCTAATTTGATTGGGAAACCATTAAAGGCAGACAATGCTACAATCCATTTAACCAGACCATCAGTAGCTCGTGTCTGTGTGGAACTGGACTTATCCAAGGAACTGCCAAACTCAGTGTGGATTCACCTTGGGAAGCTTTCTTTTCTACAACCCATCCATTATGAAGACCTTCCTGCCTTCTGCACATCTTGTAGGAAATATGGTCACAAAAACTGCAAAAAATCACATTCCTCCTCAAGATGGATCCAAAGGGAGGTCAAGACAGATGCTAAGGCCTCATCAAAAGAAACTGCAGATGTCAAGGGTACTGAAATTCAGCCCCATTTGGTTACTGCCCAATTGGTCTTAGAATCAGAAGCTACTAATGAAGCTGAAGTTAATGCTCAGTTGGGTTTAATTGAACCTGTAGTTGTCCATGTTATGGGTACTCAAACTGCTACCCAAACTGACAAGGATACTTTTGAAGCAACTAATGAAGGAGCCAAAACCCAAGTTGCAACTGAAATTCCAAATGAAGCCGAAACCATCGATGAAATGGAAGGAACCCATTCTGAGGGAACCCATTCTACAACTACTAATGAAGTTGAAGGAGCCAAAACCACTGATGAAGGAGCCAAAGCCATTGATGAAGGAACCCGTTCTGCAGCTAGAGCTGTCATTACTGAAGGAACCCATTCTGCAGCTCCTATCGAAGTTGAAGGAGCCAAAGCCATTGATGAAGCCAGTTTTGTTTCAAAAATTGCTACTGAAGCTGTTACTAAAGGAACCCAAGATGCTGACAAATTTTCTAGGAATACACTGCCCAATGGTACAGGCTATGAAAAACTGCCACAACAATCTATTGCCCACGGGAATCTGATTTCGAATGATGTTTCCACAATAAGCAATGCCACAGCTGAACTCTCAAGCAACAAGGAGATCAATGATGACACAAAAGCATCTACAGAAAGCCCACTGGAAGAGACACCAGACCCTCAAAGACTTCACTTGGAAAATAAAGACTTGCCACCAACAGATCTCGATCCACCAATAGAAGAATTCCCGCAAGATGAGTTCTTATATCCAGAAATCGAAAATGATCCACGATACAAAGAGGTCCTTGAGAATATGCGAAAGAATAACCCTGGAAGATACGGGAACATGTCTTTTAACCAAATTGATGACTTTATTGAAAAAAGATCTTCTCCTCATCAATTTAACTCTGAAGGGACCTCCAACCTTAATCTTGATGACTTCCAAGAAGTCCACCACAAACGCACAAAGAACACAAGCAAGAGACCTTCAAACCCACGAACAGTAACAACAAGGAACTACGATCCCACTCTTGAAGTTGGAATAGTTAGCCTTGTTCCAAAGTACTGGCCAAGCAGGAAAACCACAACCATGGAACGCATCATCACAACAGAGAGCTACACAGGGCAATTTTGGTATGTAGGCCCCGTCGGTCCCATTGGAAAAGACGGGAAAAGACCAAAAAAAGTCATGCCTAAAAACAAGACATTCGATGATCACCCAGGCTTCATAATCTGGGAATGATCAGTTTCATGCACTTTTCTTTTCTCGTAGTTGCTTTTCTTCCAGTTTTTTTCCCTAGGGGTTTTGGCCTAGTCCCCCCCTATTGTACTCGCCTTTTTTTCAATAAAAATTTGCTCTTTTATATATATGTGTGTGTGTGTGTGNTACATTTTAAGGAAGCTTGACAGAGAAGACCGAGAGAGAGAGAAGACAAGTTTAAGTCTATTAGGCTACACTAATAGAAAATGGGCTGCACTAAAAAATGGGTTTTTTCAAAATTTTAAAGGGGCCCAAGGTATCAAGGCGAGGTAAGGCGACGCCTAGGCGAGCGCCTGGTCGCCTTAAGGTTTTCTAGGCGAGGCGAGCAGACAAGGCATCCCAGTGACAACGCCTTATCGCCTAGGCGACGCCTTACAAACTATGGATACTGCATTTATAAGTTTTGTTTTCACCTTTTTAAAAATTTTATACATTATTCCCTATTTTTTGGCTTTCGGGTATGATGGGATAAAGAAAAATGGCTATTCAAACTGTTTGCATTTCTTTTAATAGTGAAGCAATAATACTACAATGCAACTTTTGACGCTCATCACGGGTCATCTGAAAACAGTTGTTTTATGTTTTAAATATAGGGATCAAGCTTATGCATCCGACCCCCCTAGCCCCACAATGGGTGGGACCCTTTGAGGCACTGGGTAATGGGTAATGTTGTTACTATTTTAGTCCATATAGAACTTCAATTACAACAAAAAGTTATGATTAGTATATATTTCCCAAAGTTATTAGTATATATTTTCCAAAACAATATTGTATCCTCAGCCCTCAATTGAACAAAACATAACATTTTTTATAAGATCTTCCATCCCCCCCCCTCCCATCCTCTCCCCTCTTTGGAACATAACAAATGCTTAGACAAGAAATCAAAGCCCCTTGCTTATATGCACTCAAAATATTTATGAGGCAAAGAATCGGAAAAAAAGCCTATTTGGTAACTGAACATTTATTTGGCTAATATGGCTGAATCTCATGAGTTTACTAACAATAATGCATTAGGGAACATCCATTCCGGCCAAATAAGCATGTCAAAACTCAAAAGTCTGCTAAGTGCTTACAAGCAGAATGTATAGAATAATTCATATATCTGTCTACCATACAGATCCTAATGTAGCTCAAAAGTGACTTATTTATAATTTCTCTAATCAGTATACCGAGTCACTAACAAGCATCCAATTTGAGTCCAACCCTAACTTGCGGTGCTGAATCCTGATGCTATATTCAAAGTTACTGTACACGATTAAACTATACCCAACCCAAAAAAGAAATCATAAAAGTGAAGTTGAAGCAATTTAAAAAAGGGTCGGACAGCAATAATATCAAAGGAAAACTAGAAATAGATGGAAAATTGAAGTTGTACCTTCTATTCTCTCAGTATGATGACTATTGTGAAACCTGAAAGCTCCAATTCCCAGTATATGCACAAAATAACTAACTAAAACAAGCCCCAACTTGAAATTCCCCATTCGTAAATCGAAACTAAGGGAAGGCAACCCCAAAAGTACATCGATAAATAAAAAATTTGAGAGGGAAAAAGGCTCTCAGAAATTTAAAGGATATTGTACGCAAGAAATGAGACCGGCACAAGCACACACATCCGGGCTGGAATTGAGCTGGACCTAAGGTTGACTTTTTTGTTCACGTATCCGGGGAGCTAGCACGCTTAAGACCATCAATTATACTAGGGTGAGCAACAATCCCGAAGCCAGGTTCCTATAATATTCAGTTTTTTTAAGGATGCCAAAATTTTGTTCTACGTACCTTCTAAACCGTTCTAAGATGGCAGCGGACCAGGATACATAAATATTTTACTATTCTGTCCCGTTATCCAGTATATATGTATGTATCTACTCCGTACTTATTTATTTGTATATGGGTATAACAAAACAAAAAATATCATCAATGTAGATATAAAAAAATATCCATATTCAAATATTCTTAAAAAATGACTAAGACCGAAACACCAAAAAATTCAAACTATTCTAACCCGTCATTGTCTTGACTTTTGACATATATATAAAGCACTATATATATATATATATATATATATATATATATATATATATATATATATATATATATAGTAACATTTTTCATGTTTCCTTATTATTTTAGCTTTTTAAAAACATTCTAAATAAATATATCATTTTTTCATTATTTTGCAAGTCAAATTGAGATGCCTCCCCCATATGTATTTTATATTTTTATATCAAATTTAGGATAATGACAAAGTAGGACAACGCGAACTCATTCCGTATTATCTTGATCTCGAATATTAAGGGACAGAGAGGGATAAGCTTGTAGCCCGAACTGTTCCAAATCGTTTGAAAAAAATGGGAAAAACATGGGACGGTATATAACCCGAACCGTCCTGACCCGTGCCCACCCCTACATTATACTCCCTCCATCTAGTCATATATCTTGTGTAGTTTTTTGTGATTTTTAAGTAAAGTTATAAAAAAAAGTTGGAAATAATTAGAATATCCTTGATAAAATTGGGTGGAGCATATTAAATAGAGTGAGATTTAATAAATAAATTAAGTAAGGACTAGTGATATTTTAAATATTAAAAAAGGTAATCAGAAACTCTTTCCTAGATAAACAAAAGCGTATTTGGAAAGATCTATGGCGAACGGAATGAGTATGTATCACCGGATCCATTCATCATTCATTTCATACAACATTCATCGGTCGGAGGTGAAGTTGGTGAAAATGAGTACTATTAAACTTAAGGACGACCACATATTGAAAATACATTATATGAAGTGTAATATTTAAAATACACCTTCGGGTAATAAAAGATATTGATGATATTATTTTAGATTTTCCCTTCGCCCGGATTTGATCTTTTCATTTTTAACTTGTCATCCGCTACAAAGACTTGCCTATGTCTGAACGCATGTAGTATTGGTTGGACTGTTGTTCTAGTGTCTCAAGAGATTACAAGTACAATTGTTAGAAATGAGTCCCAACGCTAGATGGGGGTGAATAGAGTTTGAAACAAAATCGCGAGAATAAAATCGAGAGCGTGAAAAGTAAAGAGCGTAAAGGAAATGCACACCCAGATTTACACTGGTTCACCACAACGTGTAGCTACGTCTCTCTCCAGCTACATTACTTTGGTTAAACTTATGGAATTTCGGCCGTTCGTGCTTGGCCAATCTTGATTTTGCGGGATGTTGGTGCGTTTTTTTAGGAGTTAGGATGCACAGATTTTTGGTTTAGGACAAGGATTGTACTTTCAATGGCTTGAATTTGTCCATTTATTATTTAATTGAAATTGGGCCATTGATGAATACATGTGGCATGGATTTGTCAAATTATTCCAAAGTGAAATTAGGCCGTTGATTAATAGATATGGCGGGAAAATTAGAGTACAATTTTGACTATGCTTAGAGCACTGGTAATGCCCGTAACACCGACCGGCGTGAGGGGGCATTTCACGCCCAGGGGGCGTTAAACACCGCCCCCTGCGGCATTACCGGGGCGTCGTTGCTTCTCCTTCATTCGTTTGACGTGGCAGCACCCCCCCCCATTTAGGTGTTGCCCCCCCCAAACGGCTATATAGCGTTGCCCCCCCCCCATATTAAAAAAAATAAAAATAAAAAAAACCTATAAATTCCCCTAAAAAATCATTCTCTCACACATTTCTCTCTATCTTCTCTCTAAAATATTTATTATTTATTATAAATATTTATAAAATATATTTTAAAAATGGGATCATCTTCATCCAACGATGAAAAAAGAGCTCTCATTTTTCGTTGTCTCACCACGAGTTGTATTCAATGATGGGAAGAAGGCGAAGAAAAAGAAGCCGAATCCTCCCGACGACGGACCCGACGACAACATTTAAACCGGGATCGAGCGGCCGCCCACGCTTCACTTCTAAACGACTACTTTAATACTCCGTGTGTTTATACACCGGAGGATTTTAGTAATCGTTTTCGGATGAGTCGTCATCTCTTTTTACACATACTCGCTGATGTTGAACGCGAGGTTCCTTGGTTCACCCAACGCTTTGATGCGAGAGGCCGACGCAGGTTTACTAGTGTCCAAAAGTGCACTGCCGCGCTCCGTCAGTTGGCGTACGGAACGGCATCTGATATGTTTGACGAATACTTGAAGTTGTCGGCTCGGAGCATCAGGTCCTGTGTTTATAAATTTCTAAAGCTATTATTCAAATTTATCATAAAAGATATTTACACAAGCCTACAGCGAGCGATATTTAGCAGTTGCAGGCAAGGCATGCCGCTAAACACAGCTTTGTCGGTATGCTTGAGAGTATTGATTGCACGCATTGGGAATGGAAAAATTGTCCCACTGCGTGGCACGGTCAATTCTCCTGGGGAGATCATCCCAAGCCTACTATCATGCTCAATGTTGTTTCTTGAAATGACTTGTGGATTTGGCACGCTTTTTTCGGTGTCGCGGGCTCGAACAACGACATCAACGTTCTCGATCAATCGCCTGTTTTTGACGATTGGATTAATGAGACCACACCCGACTCGTCTTTTGAGCTTAGAGGGACGCTTTACAATCGTGGATATTATTTGGCCGATGGAATATATCCAGATTATTCCACGATTGTCAAATCCCTCTCCAAACTAATGGGTCTTAAACGCCAGACCTACAAAAAAGCTCAAAAGGCGGCGAGAAAAGATATTGAACGAGCCTTTGGGGTCTTGAAGGGTAAATGGCACATTCTAGATCGACCGTCGAAATGTTATTCTCAAACGAAAATGAGGGATATCATGTACACATGTATTATTCTTCATAATATGATCATAGAAGACAACGGGACTGCGATTTGTCAATACAACTCGGACGAGGAGGTGCCTATGTACGAAGAAATCACCGAAGAAAAGAAACGAAGAAACCACCTAGAAATTCGAAGCCGAGAGATTCACAATGTACTAACGGTGGATTTGATCGATCATATCTTTAGTCACTCGAATAATTAGTGATTTCTTTGTAGTGTTGTTTTTTTATGTAATATTTTTTTAATGAATGTAATTTTTTTATGAATGTATTTTTTATGAATATAATTTTTTTTAATGAATGTAATTTTATTTATGAATGTATTTGTTTATGAATGTTATATTTTTTAATGAATGTAATTTTTTTAATGCACTAATCTTATTGCGATTAATTTAAATAATAAATTAATTACATTTTATTAATTTAGTTTTAGAAGATGTATATTTAAAAATGTAAAAAATGAAGGTTTGAAGCCCCGGGGCTTCAAACCCGTTTCCAGTGAATCTGTGAGGTAAGTTAAAGTTGACGTGGCAGAGAGAAAAATTTTGAAGCCCCGGGGCTTCAAACGTATTTCCAGTGCTCTTATATATATAAATAGATTCCGTATATGGCTATTTTTTCTCGTGGAAGTAAATGGGTGCAGTTGTAAGAAAGTCATCTCAATTTTTTTCACACCTAGTCTTCGAGTTTCACTTGTATGCTTAAAAATTAAAATTATAAGATTGAACAAATAGTACACTAATGGATATGAGAGCTACTTAAAAGTATGGGCAATTTCTTTTGAAAAAAAAATAAACAAGCACCAAATTTGTTATGGTTCAATCGGAAAGGGGTAAAGTGTTGGCCAAAGCAGCATGACTTGCTCTTACATAGTGAGACCGAGAGCGACATGACGATGACCTCAATTATTTTCAATTTACAATATAATAAATATGAAGTACTTTCTTTTTTAAAAATTTGTCTAGTCAAAGTTTATAAAGATTTGACTAAAAACCCAAAGAAGAAAGATCTTTAAGGATTGAACGTGTATAATTTTTTTTGTGCAAATTAGAGTGTGTATAATTTTAAATAAATAAATGTTTGATATATCAAACTATGTCTTTAAATGAACCTAACTACATTAAATCCTTTAATATAAAATTTGAGAGTTAATTGCTTAGAATTTTGACATGTTGAAGGCTCTAATTTGATTACACCTCAGGGTCCACCCGGCTGCTTAAGAGAGGAAATAGCATATCTCCTCCCAGATCCGAGAAACGATTCTTCTACTCTCTCGCGAGGGATTGAGAATCGATTTTACAGAAGGAAAGAACCTGGAAGGAAACTACGAATGATTCAAGGCTGATTCCTCGCTGCGTTAATGCCAAAAATATGATAGAACAAAAATACTCCGTCATTTTTTTCCTTCCCGGTAGCAGCCAAAATCCTGAAATCCACCACAACCGTCTCGCCTTCCCAGTTCCTTGCCGCATCTTCAACAGTCCGGTCTCTGCCAATTAATCAATTAGGGTTTGTCATTTCTTCCAGAATAGTGTTTTCATTAAACAATTGAATTTTTGAAAGAACGTAAATGTTGTAATTGTGCATCAACGATTGAATTTGCCAAAATAATTTAAGTATCCAAGACTAGAAATAGTCAAACCTCAGCAGATCGCATTCAGAGCACTTAATTGGTTAGAAGTCTCTGATTTTTGAAATTTCCCTGTTCATAATTTCATGTGATGCTATGAGCGCATGATAATTTTTTTGTGCTTTATGACTATTTTTTAAAATTATGTATTCACGTTTCTTTTTTCTTTTTCAGGCTAAAGACTGAAGTCAACCAGTAGAAGCTTTGGACTCACTTTCATATTTTGAATCTTTAATTTTGCTATTTACAAAATTGAATTTGATTTTGAATAATTGAGTAACTCATTTTGAGTTGGCTTTTGGTTGAATTGAATAAATCAGTTTGATTTTGATTCTAATTGAATGATTTTTACGGTATTTGAATTGAATGATAAATCAGTTTCTGCAAATCCTATGAAAAATCCTAAACTCCTCCTTCATGATTAGAGGTTGTGTTGCACTTTCAATTAAGCATCACACTGCTAGCCCATCCACCATTCTTTTTTCATACTCCGGGGAGATATTTGATACTCCATTTGCATTTCCCTCTCTGTTGTTACCTCTGTAATGTACTATTAGGATTGTTAGGCCCAAATGAAGAACACTAAAATGCAAATTAACTGTTCTCTACAGGACAATGCAGATGATTTTTGTGTTGAACATGGTGAGAGTAGGAGATCTTTTGACGCTTTTTGAATGTATGTTTTATCCGACTTACCATGAAACTATGCATCACAGTGACCATGTATCTTTGGTCCTCTTAAGGTAAAACAAATGGTTTCTATATTTTAATGATAACCATGTGTTTGGACCCTATAAGGACATTGGTTTGCTTTTGTCTGTGCATTGATTTATTGACTATACTAAACTAAAAGATCCGTGTTATATACTTCAAGGGTGGAGAGTTCAATTTTTAATGTTAGTTTCATGGAGCATTAAATGGTGGGTGGTATTGACATCCCTCACAGCGACAAAAGGTTTGCTGGATTCAGCAAGGATTCAAAGCAACTATAACCTGAGGGTGAGTGACTATACTATTGTTTACTGTTATTTTTTTCAAGTCCATGATTGGTGTTATAATTTTTTAAGATTTTTTTCTAATTCTCCAATCTCCAGGATTGTACTACATAATTTTTATATTTTTTAATAGCACTAGAAAAAAAATTCAATACATTTCTGAAAGCGAAATGAAGATCTTTTCAAGTAGGATGGCAAGCCAGCTTATCTTTGTAGACTTCGTGGACGTGAAGTTGGGTTTTGCTATTCCATCGTTTTCACATTCCCACTCCCTTCTCTCCAACTTTTATCACTACCCTGACCATTCCCCTCCTTCACCTGGCTTGGAGACCTAAGACGACAATAGACACTGCTGTTGTAGTTCCAGATAGTAGGAAGAGGTGACAGCAACCTTTGGCCCCCTTGCAGAAAAATAAGGAAATATATCCTGATTCTTTAACAGACAATTCAATATATTCTCTACTCTTTTCAAAGACGAACGATGAAGCTAAACTATTGACCATTGGAATCTTACAGCATCCACCTCTTGGTAATGCCACAAGCTCTTTTTTTACCCCCATTGATTCATAAACCTATATGTAAGCTTTTTTTCATATTCATTTTCACTTACTATTATTGTTTTAAAAAATATGCATATTGTAAATAATTGATTTTAAGATGTTATCATTTAACTTTTGTTTACATTATTGCAGATTTGCAAATTTTGAAGTTTTTTTCAAGAATTTATTAAAGTTAAAAGTAGAACATTTAAAGTGTTTGAGAAAATGTCTAAATGAGTATTTTCCCGTTTATTGATTTTTTAGATGATGGAGGATGACTCCAAGAGACACGTCAGCCGGACCCCACCAGCCACGTGGAAGAGCTTTTTGCTCGGCCCATGAGCTCGGCTCGTCTTACGGGCTCGGCTCGGCCTGCGAGCTCGGCTAGAGAGCGTGACAGTGATGGGAGGAAAGCGACCGGCTGCGTTGACTGCATGATAGCGACGGGATGAAAGGGACAACTAATAACAGATGATGACGTCCGCTAGGCGAAGAACCTCGATCAGAGGTCTTTGACTATGTGTATTGTATCCCCTATAAAAGGGGCGAAACCCCTCATTGTAATGGATCCAAGTTTAGAACAAATAAACTCCTACTTTGCATTCTCTCTCTCTCTAAAACCTCATATTATTCTTTATTCTCAGTGGTTTATAACCAATAAATTGGTTCCTTCATTGAGAGCTGAGGAACATACTCGTAGGTTGACTCCCGAACGCGAGAATGGTGCAAACAAGGAGCAACGTCCCCACCACCAGCCACGTCGGTGGCGAGGAGATCGCGCCGGGTAGCGGCAACGGCACGGGTGGCATCGCTTCGACTCTGGACGCGGTCTAGGCGCTGTTCGGCTTGGGGGTGACCACGGAGCAGCTCCAGGCGGCCGTTGCGGCACTTGCTAGTTTAATTAATTTATTGTTGATAGTTTATTCCGTAGAATAGAATAAACTAGGTCTGGAGCGAGCGCGGTTCGCTCGGTGTATGCTTTAATATGTATGATGTGATGCATGTGATGTTTGTATGTATTATTGCATGGTGGATGATTGTGGCTTAGTTATATTTGTTGTAATTTTAAATACGGCATGTGTGTCGTGCCTCATCTCTATACTCTGGATGTAATTCTCTTCTTTACCTCAAATATTCTTTTCTCTCGAAAATTATAAGAAGATAAGAAGACGAAGTCCGTTCGTGATAGAGAATCCAAAGGAAGATGTGATGGGCCGGAGATAGAGATCTCTTGATCAAGGCGCTATCGTTTGTTTTTCTTTAGGAGCCACAATCATTTCATGTTTACTTATTATGCATGTGATGTATGATTGAATGTATGCATGTATGTGATTTTCGCTAGTGCATACGCGCGGTGTATGCCATAGGCAAGACTGCGTTATAAATCCCTCATAATTTTAAGTCTGTGCCACCCCGACGCCCCGTCACTCGTCAAACCCAATTTAGATCGGTAACGGACTCACCCAAGTGAGACGCCCGGTTTACGTTGGTTAGGCGCGAAACCCGTAACTAGGGTACTGACTCGCCCCGGGTTAGTCTTAACTAAGTCTTGGTCATAAGGATGAGAGACTTAGGGCACTGCGGTAGGATCAATAAATAAAATCAGATCATCCAACCAGAGTTGTAAATTGTTACAATTGGAATTTATTCCTACCA